GCTAGATGCAGAGTGTGTCATTAAATATTTCTGTTAGATAAGTAATTGGCATAGTTTATGGTTAAAAATTCGCTGGTATCTGTTTGTGTTTAATCCCTTAGCTTTTGTTCCTGATTAATTTAAGATTCATGTGCAAAAATTTTCCAAATAGTTAGTGATCCACCCCCCCCTCCCCCGTTTCGGGATCCGACATCCAGGGTCCACGATATTTTTTTGGCATATTTGTTCCCCCCCATCACAAGTATAGCAATCTATGCTCGGCCCGCTGCGTGTCTTTTAGCTCTTTATAAGCACCGAGTGACAAGTTCAGTGATCGACACTTTTTTCCTTCTCTGGGGGTTACGGTCAGCAAGCCTCAGACAGCAGATAACTGAGCATGAAATGAAGATCTTGATGCCCAAGGGCGCACAAGCATTTTTTTTTTCTATATCGATATCATTTGTCAGAGCGAGGGGGCTATGATTGATCAAGTCAGCTACCTGAACAAACAAGACAAGATCTTCGATTTCTCAATAGGCAAGAGTGAGAGAGAGGGGCGGGGGAGGAAGGGTGGATGGATATTGGTGGGGAAGGGGCAGCCCGTCAATCAATTAATCACTCGGATCGGGCTTGACGGGAATGTGCATGAGGGAAAGGGAGTTGATCAAATGTATTGGGTGGCATGGTTTGTGTGTATCTTGACTATCAACTGCACATGTTCCTTCCACACCCACCACCACCCTATTCGACAAGAGGGTGAATATTGACCAAAAGGTCAGATGTTTGACGCCTCTTTTTCTTTTCTTCTAGTGGCCAGAATGTTGCAGTTGAACTGGCGGGAGCAGCACGACTAGCTGATTGCCTTGTATTGTTGGTCATTCGGTTTCCTCTCTGATGTTGGATCCATGTTTGTTTCGCCACGGTGGTATTTAACTTTCGAACAGGGCAACGGTGGGCAATAGACATCAACGCACCTGTCAAACCTCTTTACCTACGTGCCTACCTACCTTGCTCCTACTTCTCAAAACTTATCCCAAAGTGTGTATTGGGGGAAAAAGAAGTAGCATACAAAACTGCCGTGCCCTTCCACCACAACACAACACTCCATACACTCCATCGGCTAAACCTGCCCCGTTTCACCAACACCATCAACTCACATTTCCATCCATCCACCCAGCCAAACAAGGGACCACCCGCAGCCCACACGCAGCCTCCTCAAACAAAACCGCAAGATAATTCCTCTCCCCATCCTAGTAGGGATTCCCGGCCCTTCCTTTCCCGATTCCGAACCAGCAGCTGTCAGAAAATGTTTGGGCGACAGGAAAACTGTGTGTGTGTGCTTGTATCAAAAGCCAGCCAAGCTCCTGACTTTGACCATGCAACTACCCGTCCGATTTTCTTGCACCTCTTCTTATACAGTATGAAAAGGTAAAACGCCACTACATGTAAAAAGTTGCACTTTCTTTCCATGTCAAAAGTATGATCAATCAGTGGTGTTGGTGTGAATCCGAGCCTCTGTTGTGTGTGTATTGTGTCACTAAAGGTGCCCAAACTTGCCATGCCTGCCCTCCCACCATAATCACTCTCCCCGAAACACCATCATGATATCTCGCAAGAAAAACCACAACGTCACACACACGACCAACCGAACAGGTCTTTTCACAAAAACGACACACCACACCCCCAAGAAAAACGTACCACACACACGCACACAC